ATCCCTGTGGTCTCGCAGGCACAAAGAGCCGCAACGCTTCAGTCTGCTTTTCTGTGGGTTGTGCACAATGCCATGAGCGGGGTACAGTGCTCCCTAGGTGTTAATCCAAATTTGGTGCTTGAGCGGAGTACACCAACCTGAACTGGAATTGCAATACTGTATGGATGGGCTGCAATTTCAGCTGCTATAATCCTCGGACATTTTGGCAGGCAAAATTCGTGGTGGCGAGGATTATGGGAATGTAGGAAAGCGTATCTGGAGGAGAGGAGTTTGAGGACAGATTTTGACATTTTAATTTATTTTTTTTTATTATTATTATTATTATTATTATTATTATTATTATTATATTATTATTATTACTGCAACCGGCTAATCTAGCTACATTGCTGTGATTCAGTGAGGAATTATTTTAATTTTCCGAGAAAAAGGAAGACAGCGGTCCTTGTATTAAATTGAAACCAATGGAGTGCAAGAGCCAATTTGGTACAGTGGCAGCAGACCGTGAGTTTTAGTCCCGCCTTAGGCACAAAAAGAGTCTCCCTCTCAGTGAAACGAAGGAAAGGTTCACAGATGCGTTATCAGGTTCAGTCACCTAAAACCTCAGTTGGAGCCACAGAATGAAGGGACAAAATGACTCAGATATCAGTCAGTGGCTGCGTTTGCACAATATTCTACGCTGTAATTAGCAACGTTGGATGGTACTATTAACATGCTAAACTAACCAAACAAGCCTCAGTATTATGGATGAACGTGATGATTTGTTCACCCAACGCGCTAAGATATAATATAGTTATGGTTTGTCATCCCTGACAAGCTGATTTAGCGCAAGCTGAAACACTGCTAGCATAGCATAGCCACCCAAAGACATTTTAGTCTAAGTGTTGTCTGCCTCCAAGCTGTGTGACTAGTTAATGATTCAATATCACATGAATACCGGAAACTGGGTTGAGTAAACCAGGGTTTACTTATAGGTAAGCATATCAATGCAAACATAGCCTATAAGCCGCTGCCCTCTTGGCCTTTCGACAAGCAGTTTAACAGGAACTTGCTCCTGTTAAACCAAATGCAAAATAATAAAAGTACCACCCCGCCCACTTGACATGCACCGGTTTTACCCTACGCTTAAGCC